TCTATGTGGTCTCCACCTTCCATCCTTGAGTATCAGGGACACCAAAGACAACCCAGGGTCCCCAAAGGTGTGGACGGAGTCGGCGAAGAAGGAATGACACAGAGGCAGCGTTCAGTTGATCAGCATGGTTGGGTTCTCCAGCCAGGTTCTATAGCCATGTTCCCTCCCTAGGTTCTCCAGCCAGGTTCTGTCCAGGTTCTCCAGCCAGGTTCAGTCACCAGGTTCTAGTCAGGTTCTCTTGCCATGTTCTATCCAGGTTCTGTAGCCAGGTTCTGTCTCTAGGTTCTTCAGCCAGGTTCTCTCGCTAGGTTCTGTCTCTAGGTTCTGTGGCCAGTTTCTGTCCAGGATCTTTTGCCATGTTCTCTCGCTAGGTTCTGTCTCTCGGTTCTGTCTCCAGTTTCTGTCCAGGATCTTTTGCCATGTTCTCTCCAGCGAAGTTCTTCTGTCTCTAGGTTCTGTGTAGGTTCTGTGTCTAGGTTCTGTGTCCTGTTGTCTTGTGACATCTGTATTTATACCAGTTGATTCCAATCCTATCAATCTCTATTCCAAAGGTTAGGGCGTTTCTTATCTCCATTCCAGGGAGTAAAGATTATGTAGCTTAAGCATGATTGTTTGTAGTTAAAGTGATTAATTACCCACCTGGCACTTAGTTAAGGGGTTTTATTCCCTCCCTAACTTCAGGGGAAAATCCCTACCTGGGGAAACAACCTTTCTCAGAGAGGTGACCTTGGTTAAAACACATAGTGCCAAGAAGGTGAGCAAACATATTAAGAACAGTATGCCATATATGCCAGGTGTCTTGAAACAGCAAGGATGGACCGGATCCCGGCAAAGAAGGAGCAGCAGAACAATCCAACAAACAAAAAAGGAAATAGAAATGCATGGTGGAAGGGATCTGAAGGGTGGGTAGGGGCATTGCCCAACTAAAATGTAATTGGTTTGTTACTGAGTACTATTCATGGGAAGACAGCATCCTGACTCCTTCTCTATACAGCATATTGGGAGTAAAAATGATGCATCCAGGTGGAAATATGATTAGAGGTTGAAAGACAGACAGGGAAAGAAGAAGTCATAAATAGACACTGAGAGAGTCACTGGCTGGCTGGCTGCAAATACTGACTCTCCAGTAGTGATAGAATAAAAACGTGGGGGATAGCTCTGGAAGATTCAAGAGATAGGGGGCAACTCTTCTATGGTTTTGACTTGCCCAGCAGATTTCCACGTACACACGTGTACAGGCCTATGTTTGCATGCACACACATATACACATAACTGACTGCCCTCCCTGGAAGCACAGAAGAAGAAAAAGCCGCCAGAAGAAGAAGCCGCCCACCTTTGGTCCAGGCGCCAGTGCCTGTGGCTGGCTGCAGCCCAGGAGATGGACAAGCCACCCGCCCGAGGTCCCAGGCTGCAGCCACCCGGAGAAGCTGCCAGCCCAGTGGTCCAGGGCGCCAGCTCCTGTGGCCAGGGTAATAGGTTCCCTCTTCTCCTACTGCAGTCATTACTTCAATATTCCACTTCTGAATTTCTCTCCTGTGCAGCAACCCAACTCCACTTTTCATCGGAAGGATACGGAACAGAGAGAGCAGTGTTAAAAGCTTACATTTTTAAGCCGGTAAGGTTGGTACTTAAACATATAAATGGAAAACTAGAGTCCTTAAGGTAACAAAGGCTACAAAGGACAGGGACAGCGCATGACCTATTATATCCAGCAATCCATACGGGGACTGAAAACTTTGCAATGATGACAATTAGTGAAGATATGAATCAACTAAAATAGTTGACAGGGACAATTCTTCCATCTTTGAAAATATCTACATCAAATCTGTTTAAATAGATTTTCATCTGCACAATATAACACATTCTGACAAGACCACCACCACCACCACCAATGTGGTCAGTGTTGTGACGATAAATGTTTAATAACTGAGGGACCACCACCACCCCCCAGTGCACAAATTTTTGTGCACCGGGGCTACAAATATATATATATATATATATATATATATATATATATATATATATATATATATATATATTGATTTCAGAGGAAGGGAGAGGGAGAGAGAAACATCAATGATGAGAGAGAATCATTAATTGGCTGCCTCCTGCACACACGCCCCGCTAGGGATCTAGCCCACAACCCAGGCATGTGCCCTTGATTGGAATCGAACCTGGGACCCTTCAGTCCGGCAGGCTGACCCTCTATCCATTGAGCAAAACCGGCTAGGGCTAAATAGCTTCTTAAGTGGTCTTCCTGCCTCTAGACCTACTCCCCCTTTAATTTGTTCTTTGCAATTATGCTAGAATTTTTCTGTAATGCAAGTCAGATCACATCACTCCTATACTGCAACAAGCACTATCTCCCCACTGCTTACTGGTAGAGTCCAAGCTTCTCCACATGCCTTACAAGGGCCTTTCAGAACCTGGCCCTGCTTACCCTTTCAGTCTTATCTCCTATTATCTTTTCCTCAGCCTCTTGCCTAAATAATATCAAACTGAACACACTCCATACCTTTGTACACACTGTCCTCTCTGCCTAGAATGAGCCCTTGTCTTCCAACCAAATCTTTATTCAGATTTTAAAATTAGACTTAGAGTAGGTATTGAAATCAGTATGGTTAAGCACTTTGTCCATGGTCACATTGCAAGTAAGTAGTGAAGCTGAAATTTGAACTAGGTCTTTTGACTTCAAAATTCATCCTTGATTCCTAACACTACACTGGTTGAAGAAGGCCTCTCCACTGTTTGAATACTGGGCAAGGTGTATTCCAAGGTTGCCTTGAACCCCTTAGTGTCTAGTGTTCATTGTACCTGAAGGCAACCCATTCTAGCTTTGGGCTTCTTTGACCAGTTTAAAAGCTATTGTTAGTAGTAAGCCAAATTATAAAGGAGCCAAACAAGACACAGCTAAGAATAAAACATTTTGGCTCATTGCTAGAACTTCCTTTATAGTTTGACACCAAATCATTTGTTCTGGTTAGTTCTAAACTCATCTCAACACACAGCTGAAGCATACACCCTATATTTTGCCAACTCATCTACAAAGAAATTATGGGGAACGTTATCCAACACCTGGATTAAATGAAATCCACTATAGCTATCACATTCTCAGATCTGCCAATCTAGTAAGTATGGGAAGGATATTTATTTTTTAATGAGGCAATTTGTCAATGATTCAAAATATGAGTTTCCAGTGGCATACTTTCAGAAATCATTTGCAGGTTGTCAGGAAGATGATTTTTGGGTACTGGGTTTCCCACTGCCCTTCAAATGACATCTAAATAGGCAGGGGCATTGCTATGAATTGTACAGCATTATTGTTTGCACCTGGTTTATTTAGGCTTCCATTTCAGTTTTCTATGCTTTTATTTTTCTTTGACTACATTCTTCCCTTGCACATGTTTTCTCTGTCTGCTTCATTCCCTAAATTTCTACATCCATCCTCCCCCAATCCAATTCTCTTTCTCTCTCTCTCTCTCTCTCTCTCTCTCTCTCTCTCTCTCTCTCTCTCATCATTGCATGCAGCCCCTCCTCTGGAAATATTCTCTGATTTCCCCAAGCTGAGTCATTGCTTCTCCTCCTGTAGGATATAGTAGAAAATGCATACAGTGTACACCATGAAGTACTAGTAGATCCCCAGAAAATGTTAGTTCCCTTCTCCCTTTCCTTTATATAAATCTCTAAAATAGGACTGATCACACTGTATTGTTTCTTGTTTACTTGAACATCACCAATTCTGAACTCATGTATTCGTTCATTTAGCAGATATTCATTGGATTTTTAATGTGTGTACAAGTCATTGTTAATGTGAGGTACTGAGGATACCGTCCTTTCTGAAAATTTTACTTCCACTGTCTCTTTTTCATTTACATATTCATAGTACCTAGTATAGTGCCTGACAAATAAAGAGTGCTCATTAAATGTTTGTTAAGAGAAATCTCCAAGTGTGGTCCTAGGACAACTTGCATCTGGATCACCGAGGGTTTCAGGTTAAAATTTAAATGTAAGTTCTTTGGTCTTGCTCTAAATCTACTGAGTCAGAATCTCTTAAGGGTGATCTGAAAGAATATGCATTTTTTTCTGGTTCTGCAGATTTTCCCTTCACACTAAAATGTGGGAATCATTACAAAATAGTGTGTGGGGGGGAACTAATGCCAATTTTTGAAAAGTGTAGCTAAAACCAATTGAATTATTTGTAATGCCTCTGATCATAGTAGGAACATTTAGTGAAGAAAGAAAAGGGCATTAGTCAAAATTCTCTGGGAATTTTTTAAAAACAGGCTTGGAATATTCAAATAATTAAATAAGAGTCCTTCTAAAGTCTAATATGACAAGTGGAATTATTAATAAAATTTAATCTTAATTTAGATCAAAATTATACTAGAGAGTTTTCATTTTTATAGAGCTATTTTATTTATATACTTGGTATTATATATATCTTAGTATATATAGGGACCATATATTATAAAGTTGAATCACATATTTATTTTAAATTATGAGAGAGTATGTCACAACTGTATTTGTACTTTGACCCTGATTATATATGTGACCTATCTGATGTCTAGTTCTTGATTAGAAATGATAGTAGTACTGATTATCTATGAAAATTTGATCAACTTTTACTGTTTTATACCATATTTTCTAACACCATACTGTTATTAAATATATTATTTGGTAATATATTAGGTATGTAAGATCTGAGTCAACCAAAGGCAGCATAACTTACCTTTCAGGAAGAATTGCAAAATCAGATTTTATGCCCATGTTCTTGGGACCTGGCACATTCCATTTGGGGTCTGCCTTGACATGATCCTCTTGGTCAAAAGCTGAGGTGTGTATGCATCTTGGCACAAATCTCTTAAGTATCCACAGGTTTTTATTTCTTCTTCCTGTCTTGTAACTTTACTCTTTTAAAAAATTAAATTTAGGGTTTTGTTGGTGTCACTGCTGCCAAGCTGGATCATGACCGGCTGCCCTCACAGAGCTCGCTGAGCACCATGTCCAAAGACCTGAAGATTCTGTCCAGTGACTCCTACCTGGAGCTGAACAAGGACCAGAGCCAGCATTTCAGTGCCGATAACAGAGAGCATGAAAAATTACTGAAGGAAAGCTGCACTCTATATGTGGGGAATCTTTCCATTTGTACATCTGAGGAGCAAATATTTGAGCTCTTTAGTAGATGTGGTGATATCAGAAATGTATTTATGGGCTTGGATAAGTTAAAGAAAACACCATGTGGTTTCTGTTTTGTAGAATACTACAACAGAGCTGATGCTGAAAATGCCATGTGGTTCCTAAATGGGACCATCTTAGATGACCATACCATCCACACAGAGTGAGATGTAGGCTTTAGAGAGGGCAGACAGTGTTGTGAAGACTTTGATGCTGAGAGAGCAGACTTTGAAAAAGAGTCTCAGGCCTATGATTAGAGAGAAACTCCCAAGTGAAAAATTTGCAGCTCTAGCCCCTCCAAAGGTCTTTTAAAGAATACCCCCAGGTGAGCAGATACCTCATAATCTCACAACCATTTTTAATTACTTTATTTTCTGACCAGAAACCCTTTTGATGTACTTTCTCTCTAAAAAATTAATAAATGGCATAAACACAAACATTCTTTTATTCTTGTAATTTTGAAGCTGGCTGTCAGATTACTAGTTTGACCATCAGGTTGTCAAAAGTAAAATGTTACTCAGGAATAAATTAAGTATTTAATATCTGAGTCAACCAAAGCACAAATGATCATTTTTTAGAGCTTGCATAAAATAAAGACAAATAAACAGAAATTTAAAAATATATATCAAAGGAATACAAGCACGTTACTTATAAACATAACCAATTTCGGGAGAGTTTGTAATGAAAGCCAAAATCTTCCTGCCCCACCTGTTTCTACCTTAGACTTATTCCCTGGGCAATAAGTTTTAATTTTTTAGCAGTATTTTTTTCTTTCCTCGTAGTTTCCTCTAAATTTCTAAATAACATGACTTTCTGTACTATTTATTTTCATTTTAAACATTAAGTATTGGCTTCCTCCTTTCATAAGTAAGGATTTAGCTCATTTACACCCACATTGGCACATCTCTCCTTCATAATGTAGTTTATAATACTTTACTTACTTTGTCTATTGTTATATAACATGGGTTAGGTTAGATTACAATAGCAAACAACCCCAAAGCCTTACTTGCTTAAAACCACTAAAGCCTGTTCTTCACATTGTCAATTGCCTGGGGACTCTGCTCCATGCCATGATGATCCTCCTTTTGGGGTCCAGAAAGCATAGCCACTATCATTCGTATAAATCAGTTATTGTAATTCCCTCTCTTTTGCTGGTGATTGGTTTAGGAATCCAGGCTTACACCAATTGGAGGTTGACAATCCCATGATGATTATTTATTAATAAGTTCAAGGTGGACAATGGCCAATGGGGACCCAGCAAGACTGAAATGAAGGGTTTTTATTTTATCCTTGAAGTAGAGGTTGTCTCTTTCCACTGCATGTGACTAAGTATGTATATAGCAATTGCTATAAGCAGCCTTCTTACAACCAGAGAAACCAGCCCTAGGATGAACTAGACACATTAGAATGGTGAAAAAAGAGACCAAAGAAACTGTGTCTTTCACGAAATTATCTAGTTGCTGAATCAACTAACCTTACAGTACACACTATGTCTGGATAGCCTATTAAGTAAGACTAGAGGCCCAGTGCACAAAATTTGTGCATGGGTATGGTCCCTAGGTCTGGCCTGTGATCAGGGCCATCTTCCTTGGCTGCCAGCAGCCAGCCCCGCCCCCTGCCACCACCCACCTCCCTCCCCACCCCCCCAGTTTCCCCTTCACCATCTTGCACCCGAGGTGGGTCTGGCCCAGGATACACTTTGAACCTGTATAGGAGGCTGTGATCCAGAGGTGCTTTTGTGTGGAATTTCTTTCAGGTAAGGGATGGGGTGTGGGCCCAATGCCCGAGAGAGTTCCAGGAGGCAATGGTGCTATCAGGGTCATTCTGGTCACGCCTGAACGTTCACTGCATTTATTCACTGTAGGATTCTACTTGCAGGGTCCTGGGGTCCTTGCAACAACCCATCCCACAGAAAGGTCCCATTAGATTTCAGGTCCCATCACCACTGAGGAGGATAAGATCAGGTGCTTTAAGCAGAGAACACAGAATTCTGAACAGGGTTAGAATTCAGCAGCATCAGGAGGCAGGTTTCTCAACAACCCACCTAACCAATGCCTGCTACCTTATTGATGGCTTCTCCCTCCCCCTCAGGGAGCAGGTGGGGAGGAATGAGAAGCAACTGTCAGCAGCTATGAGCAGGCCTGTGTCTCAGCTGTGGGAAACAATGCCAGCCAGCCGAGGGGAGGGACCAAGAGGTTGGCCTGCAGGCCCCTATCAGGTGATCAGTGCCTGTGGGCTGGGGGCAGCTCCTGCATTGAGCGTCTGCCCCCTGGTGGTCAGTGCATGTCATAGTGACCGGTCGTTCCACAGTTTGGTCGATTTGCATATTACCCATTTATTATCTATAATAATAAAAGGGTAATATACTAAGTAGACCGGACAGCCAAACAACCTTCCAGACATCCTTCCAGATGAAGATGCTGCAGCGGGGGCCAAGGCAGAAGCAGTTAGGAGTGATCAGGCAGGCAGGCGAGCAGTTAGTGGTGATCAGGCAGGCAAGTGATTAGGGGCAATGAGGCAGGCAGGCAGAGTGTTTAGGGGTTATCAGGCAGGCAGGAGAGCAGTTAGGGGTGATCAGGCAGGCAGGAGAGTGGTTAGGGGTGTTCAGGCAGGCAGGCGAGCAGTTAGGGGCATCAGGCAGGCAGAGTGGTTAGGGGAGATCAGGCAGGCAGGCAGAGGCAGTCAGGGGTGATCAGGCAGGCAGATGAGCAGTTAGGGGCATCAGGAAGGCAGGCATGTGGTTAGGGGTGATGAGAGAAGCAGGCAGAGAGGTTAGGGGTGATCAGGCAGGCAGGCAAGTGGTTAGGAGCCAGCGGTCCTGGATTGTGAGAGGGATGTCCGACTGCAGGGATCTGCCCTAAACCAGCAGTTGGACATCCCCCAGGGGTCCCAGATTGCAAGAGGGTGCAGGCCAGGCTGAGGGACCTCACCTCACCCCACATGAATTTTGTGCACCGGGCCTCTAGTATAGGATAATACAGTATTTGATATCAGAGTGTTTTTATTTTATTCTTTTTCTTTTTTTTAATTAAATCTTTATTGTTCAGATTATTACATTTGTTCCTCTTTCCCCCCCCCATAACTCCCCTCCTCCCAGTTCCCACCCCACCCTCCGCCCTCACTCCCCACCCACTGTCCTCATCCATAGGTGCACGATTTTTGTCCAGTCTCTTCCCGAATCTCCCACACCCCTTTCCCCCCCAAGAATAGTCAGTCCATTCCCTTTCTATGTCCCTGATTCTATTATGATCACCAGATTATTTATTCACTTGATTCTTAGATTCACTTGTTGATAGATGCATGTTTGTTGTTCATGATTTGTATCTTTACCTTTTACTTCTTCTTCCTCTTCTTAAAGGATACCTTTCAGCATTTCATATAATACTGGTTTGGTGGTGATGAACTCCTTTAGCTTTTTCTTGTCTGTGAAGCTCTTTATCTGACCTTCAGTTCTGAATGATAGCTTTGCTGGATAAAGTAATCTTGGTTGTAGGTTCTTGGTATTCATCACTTTGAATATTTCTTGCCATTCCCTTCTGGCCTGCAAAGTTTCTGTTGAGAAATCAGCTGACAGTCGTATGGGTATTCCCTTGTAGGTAACTGAATTACTTTCTCTTGCTGCTTTTAAGATTCTCTCTTTGTCTTTTGCTCTTGGCATTTTAATTATGATGTGTCTTGGTGTGGTCCTCTTTGGATTCCTTTTGTTTGGGGTTCTCTGCGCTTCCTGGACCTGTAAGTCTATTTCTTCCACCAGGTGGGAGATGTTTTCTGTCATTATTTCTTCAAATAGGTTTTCAATATCTTGCTCTCTCTCATCTTCTGGCACCCCTATAATTCTGATGTTGGTACGCTTGAAGCTGTACCAGAGGCTCCTTACACTATCTTCGTATTTTCAGATTCTTTTTTCATTTTGCTTTTCCAGTTGGGTGTTTTTTGCTTCTTCGCATTTCGAATCTTTGACTTGATTCTTGCGCTCCTCTGGTCTGCTGTTGGGTGTCTGTATAATATTCTTTATTTCAGTCAGTGTATGCTTAATTTCTAGTTGGTTCTTTATCACAACATCCAGGATCTCATTAGATTTCTTGTAGATCTCATTAAGTTTATTGGCAGTTTCCAGAAACTTATTGAAAGACCTTAAAAGTGCGGTTTTGAGCTCTATATCCTCCATTTCTGTCATGTTTCTTTGTCTCCTCATTTCTTATGTTTTCTTGGTGAACCCCCTAGTGGTCTTTGTGCGCAGTCTTGTTGTAGTTAAGCCTTGATTGTTGTAGGTATTACTGGCGGGGATTTGGCCTCCAGGCCAACTGGCTATGAGAATCAGCTGTGTCTGCAGTGGGAGAACTTCTGTGCTGGATCTCTAGGGCGGTGCTAATCTAGCCTTTGCCTGAGGCTATCTGGCAATGCCTCTGTGCAGGGCTTGGGCGGGGCAGGTCCCCGGGGATCTACAGGGCGGGCAGAGGGAGCAGTTATGGCTGCTCTCAGTTCCGTCCCTAGGGGCTCTGTCTCACAGAGTCCCAGCAACCGCTGCAAGTACCTCGGAGAGAAAGCTGCCCTCGAGTTCCGACCAAAGCCAAACAGTCCTGCTTCTCCCGTTTGAGTCTGGGTCCCTAGAGACTCGTCCGGATCTGGAGCTCAGAGTCTATGACTCTCTCCCGATTGAAAACAACAACCGCGCCCTCCGCCGCCAGCCCCTCCGCGCGCACTCCGCACCCGAGTATTTCACTTCAGCACTGCGCCTGCTCTGAGTCTGGGTATGATATTCTCTTTCCTCCTAGTTGTAGAATTTCCACTCAGCCAGCCTTCCTGTAGTTCTGGATGATGTCCGTTCCGTCTTTAGGTGTATTTTTGAATTGGTTGTTCGAGGCAGCAATCTCCAGCGTTAACCTATGCCGCCATCTTGGTTTTCTCTATTTTATTCTTGTGTAAAGACTTTGAGTTGTTCCCTTGTGAACCCAATCATACATCTCTAGTGTTCATGACTTTTCATCTGGAAAGTTAGATGAAAACACCTTTTTACTCCTGACTCCTTCACCCTGTAACCTGAAGTCTCTGCTCAATAAGAATCTTTCCTAGATAGGGAAGGAAAGGGCATGTCAACTTTTATGGAGTGACTATTAGGTGCTGGGCACTTTGCTAGAGGCTTTAAAACACAATCTCTGGTGCACTG